CACGAGCAGGTAGTCAAGATGCTGCTCGACAAAGACGCCGACGTCAACGCGCAGGGTGGAGGGTGCGGCAACGCACTGCAGGCAGCTTCAGCTGGAGGCCACGAGCAGGTAGTCAAGATGCTGCTGGACAAAGGCGCCGACGTCAACGCACAGGGTGGATACTATGGCAACGCACTCCAGGCAGCTTCATACGGAGGCCACGAGCAGGTAGTCAAGATACTGCTCGACAAAGGTGCCGAGGTCAACGCGCAGGGTGGAGGGCACGGCAACGCACTCCAGGCAGCTTCAGCTAGAGGCCATGAGCAGGTAGTCAAGATGCTGCTTAATGCAGGTGCTCATTAACACCAGGAAGACAATTTTGTATCAGGGCCTGAGTAGCTTTGCTCAGGCAGTAAGTATTCTGAGTTAACGTAGAACATGACACGGGGCACGGGAGAACAAGCCTGTGCATGCAGCGGTAGATGCTCCTAGAAAGCCGTCAGCATGCGCCACATCTATTTTAAGAGCTATACAATGTAGGTATAGCGCTGAATTCATTACAGTAAAATACTGGCAACCCACAGGTGCGCTAATGCAGGCTCATGCATGCCAAGATACAATGGTGCGACCCGCCAGCTCGGTCTTGTTGGCAGGGATCATCTACTCAGCACTACGGCGCTCCCGGCATGCACGCTCCTACGTTCAAGTGATCTCTAGAGCTTAGGAGAATGATCTCCTTTAGTCGCACTTTCTCTCTAGCCCTCCGATACCTTAAAAAACTCCTGAATTGACGAGCAGACAGGGGGGTATTGCCAAAGGGTCGTTTGACGGCGTTGACGGAACGATCAACAGCATAACCAACGCTGCAGAGATTCTGGTCGGAGCCTGCTGGCCTAGAGGATAAATAGTTCTGTTGATATCGCGTTTGGTCGAAAGCTCTATAGATTTGTAAATGAAGGGCTCCGAAGGTCCGAACTGCTGACCTGTCTCGGGACATAGTGTGTCTCTTCACTTAGGGACGCACCTTACAATTTCTTCTACAGACACCTCCTGCTACACCGTGCGTCCCGGCACGTAGGGATGGACGTTAACCTCCCTCCCTACGGAGTATGTCCGACGGACCAGGAACACAGCTGCAAAGGAAAACTTCGAACGTAGCGCAGCAGAAAACTCAATTCAGCAGGGCGCACCACCACAGCAGCAGCGCCTCACATGACAGAGCACCTGCACTCGAAAACACACTCGCAAACATACGCGCTAGCCAATCAGATCTAGGCTCTCTAATTGTGTACTAGATAGGGTACATACATCCTGGCAAGCACCGATAAGTTACAAACAGGAGGTGGTCGGCGACAGATGATCTGTTCTAGTAATGTTGTTGCGACACTGCACTTCCAAATACGCGCCTTCACCGTCCACAGCAAGCTGTTCCGGGTTACCCAGGCCTCCAGATATTACAAACAGATCTACAGACGTTCCATCGGTTCCCGAGCACTGCCTGTTTCGCCATGAGTGAGAATGTAGATCAGTGACAATGAACACTCACCATTCCAGACCTGCGACTCCATTGGGTACGCTATCAGGTATCTTGAGGGTTGCTACCTGATCTCCAGCACAATTGCTTGGCTTGACGATGGTCGAAATTGACAAGAATGTGTCGTTGGAGAAGCTCATAGTCGCCCGACACGTTGCGTTCCGAAAATTGGTAAGCCTACAACATTGTAAGAACTTTTCAGGTAGGCGATGGCGGTGGATCATACTGGTAGTGGAGCTCGTGCCCAGCTTTCACTTGGTTGACTGGACTGAAAAGTACTGGCAAAGTATAGTCAAAAGGGACTATCTGAGCTGTTCCCAATGCAATAAATACGGAAAAAACCTTCATTGCGTGCATGGCTGGCTTAAAGAGAGAGCGAAACGTGTCACATCAGAACTCGGCAGTCCAGTCGACTTTTATGTTGCACCAGCTTCCAGTGTCCCGTTATTTGTTTGAAGGTTTACTGTACCATGTTTAACGCATATATGGTCTCTTGGCTCGGTATACTGTGTCCTGCACTTCGGTACGGATAAATTAAAACAAAAAAGACCTGAGCCTCTTCGCTGTCGATCCAGCATGTACCCTAGTTATCCCTGCTTCAGACGTTACAGTGATCTTGCTGTTCAATTTGCTGTCCCAGAACGACACGTTGTAAAGCACATATTAGATTGTACAGAAAACGAAGAAAATCTTAGGTTTAGAGCAGCGGGGAATATACTGTCTGCTCGAGTGAGGAGCCTTGCTAGTCTGATGTCGCGCCACAGAATCCAAGTGGAATCGATCAACTCCAACGAGTTAGGTATTACTCTATTTCTACCTCCACCGCCATGTCCTGCGCCGAAATCGAAGTTGTTTGCCACTTATAAGCGCACACACTTCACACCAAGCCTAGCTCTGATCAGAGAAGAGGGGACACCTCAAGGATTACAAAAGACCAAGCCCAGAAACGATGAGTTCCTAGATGACCGAGACTGGATAACAATGTATGAGTACCTTCCAAGCGAGAAGAGGAGGGCTTTATATATAGTTTCTGATGATGAGAAAGCAAGCATGAAGAGGTTCATCTGAGCTGGGTGTCGCAAACTGGAACTTCGAAAGATGGCTATCATTTATGTTTTCAGTATTACCGATGCGCAGTCAACCAATGAAGGACTTACGGCGGGGGCTAGTCTACACAGAAGGATCACTGTTTCCTATGAATGTGACCGTGAGGTCTTTTGGAGCAATGCATGAGGTGTAAGCGCTTGCTATTCTAGATACCAAACAGATTGAGCAAACGATAAAGGTGCAAAAGGGACAACTCCACCAACGCATCTCGAGCCCCCACCACACGCTTGCAACTCACCATGCTCCCGGGTCGTGATACGCGTCTCCCTATCTTTGTGCGGAAGCTCGACCAATGATATCCTACATTCAGAACCCCACTTGTTGAATCCGAACTGCAGATCAGTATAGCCGCGGCATCTCAAAACGCTATGATCACCTGTTTGGCCTTATTGGGCTAGCGTTAGATCTGCGAGACAAAATTGACTAACCTCCCCCCCTGCGTAGCGAGAAACCCGGTGTGCCGAGAAATGGGTTATTTTCATGCTTTCAAAAACGCTGCATCAATTTTGATAGTATGATAATCTCATTGCCACATTAGAATAACAAAACCCTTTTGTTGTGCTTAGTTGAAGGGGACGTTGTGTACGAAAATCTGCAATCCCTGCGATCTCATTGGTTGTTCTCGGCACACAGGGTTTCTCGCCATGTAGGGAGGGACGTTACACACTTGTTATTGATCCCTGCAAAAGTGGGGACAGGAGGCACAGTCAAGTTCAGACGTGATGATCGATGCTATGCTATGTTACGCCGCGCAATAGCGTGAATCCTTCACGCCACTATCACATGAAACCCACATATCACTGATTGGATAGTTTCTACATGAACCAAGACGTGATATTGATGCGTAAATTTAGTCAAAATACAACGCAGTGCGCCCCCATCATTGCCCAGCGTGATCACTCAAGCGTTTCTCCATGTGTATGCCTTACTTTTCGCTCTTCGTAATCTGTATCCTAGTTTCCGTCTGCGGCGTTCTCTCTTCAGATAGTTTGTATGTTGGTGGAGTCTAAGCATCAACGTCAGTATGAACGAAATGACAGGGCTGCGACGTATAACCTTCTCCTGAAGGCTGCGCAACTCGGTGGTTGTTGCCTCTAACTCTTGCACCAGCTTGATATGCTCCATTCTGTGTTCGTCAAGCGCGGCGTAGGTTGTTTTGCAAGTTTCCTGCCACTGAACGATAATCTGCGAAAGCCTCCAAATTTCGGCCTCTAGTTCACCGCAACGGGTCTGCTCCGAGAACACCTGAGTGCGGGTCTGATTATGGTTCCAAATCTCCCATTCGAGGATCTGGGATAGCTGCAGGTACAAGTTGGGTTGAGAGCAGGTGACATGCGAGACGCTGTTTGGCGATGGCAACATGGCAGGCCAGGTTGGACTGCGCGCGAGTTCTACAGAGTCGACGGCTTGGTTATCACTGAGATGATTTTGTCGACGGCGCCAAAGGAGGGACGGTAAGGTGACTTCTGGAGCAGACATTTTGTGGGGAGTGGAACGTATGTACGATGATTAGAAGCTAGACACGCCTCTAGGAATCACTTTATGCTCTGCACTTGGGTCTAATCCTAGATTAAAATGCTGTTGTCCGTATTCAGCCGCTCGTAGGCCCACGTTGTGGAAACTGTGGCGCAGAAAGGTGCTTCCAGGCTGCAGGATCCTGTAATCACCATCCTTCTCAATTTAGTCCTCCTGAACGAAAGACCTCAAGCGGGCTGCTGTCCGTAAGGGCAGCACTACAATGGCCTCCAAAGCAACAGAGAAAACCTTTGAACGCCACCCTAGACCCCAGGCACCCACCTTGGGCATAGTGCCCACCAAGGCGGCACTTCTTGGAAGGTCCATCCAAAAGAAGAAGGAAGTCTTTACAGATCCGTGGAAAACACTGTCTCTGCAAGGAGAGCTGGTACAGGGTAAATCGAAATGGTACCTGTGCTTACATGAAGGACTTATGGCAATCGTGAAAAGTGTAGAGATAGAGTCTGGCCGGCGAGAGCTCGAGAAGATCAAGAAATTGTCTAATCACCCGCATGTCGCGACAATCAATCAAGTATTCGAGTCTGAGAAGTCGATGTTCTTCAGGTTTGAGTACTCTAGATTCACTCTAGAGGAAGTTCTCAATGTACATTTGTGCCTTGACGAATGTCATATTCGGATCATTGCCAGTTCGGTACGCTCAAACTCCTTAGAGCATGGTGACTCGCTAAACTACCATGCAGATATTTCTCGCCATCAAGCACATAGCTGCTTCTGGCATTGTACACAATGCCATATCCACTGCTACAATACGATTCTGTAGCAACGGCAAGCCCCTTCTCTGTGTGTTTGTTAATAATTCAGCTCTGACGCCTTCCTGACACCTTCCAGCAAATTTTGAGGACTGTACATGGATAACGACCGAGATCACTTCGAACATCGACCTTGCCAACCTCGGAGTAAGCATTCTAGAATGCATGAACGGCAAACCAAGCAAAGACCTGCGTAGCCCCGCACAAGTACGTCGCAAGCGAGAATCAAACAAGATGTTTGGTTTGAGCAACGGAGAAAGTTGGAGTGGCCACAAGCTCCTTGTAGACTTCCTCGAAAACATGTTCAACGATAGTGCGCCCTCAATCGTCAAGCTTGAGAAGCCGGTAAACACAGTTCTCTGTTGCCTGTAGACCGATCACTGCTGACGAATGCTAGCATCCCTATGTGACACAGCAACCAGGGTACAGTGCACTTACCCCGTTTCTGGAGCTAGTGTCTCTTGAATGTCACGCTCTTTGGCGCCGAGCGGCGGTTAAGCAAGTTGGCGGCACGGATTGAACTAGTCATAATTAGAATCAGATTATGTGGTGTTGGGCGGCTATTGAACGCTTTGGTATATTACGAGTCCAACTAGCCTTCACTAACAATCAACCATCCTCACTCTCTTAACTCTTCTTCCTACTTCTGCCAATGTCGTTTGTCAACAAGCTAGACCCCAGTTCAGCTGCATTCATACCTGACCCTAACGTCCATTCTGAGGCTGTTACCGACTATATGGGTTTCTTCACAGACTTCTCAGCTAGCTTTCCTGACATAGGAATGAACGTCGACCCTTGCGTTCCAGAGCCGTGTCCTCAAAAACAAGACAACTTCCCATCTGCGCATCCCGCAGGCCAAAGGCAGCATGATCCTTCAGCCTTCGGCACGCCCGGCATTACGCTAGAGAAGGTCCAGATGGATATGTATATCGCAATCAACTCGTTCATACAACTTCAGAACGAGTATCAAGCCAAATTGGGGTGTGTAGAAAGGTGAGATACCTCGTGAAATGAAAAGATGCGCCAGAGCTGATCTCGACATAGAGAACTTGCAAAGAACGTGGAAGAAGCGTCCAACTTACGACAAGATGTGAATGTACTGTCGAACTGGGCCAAGGCTGTGCTTGATCATTTCCAACAGGAGGGAACCACAAAGGATGCCAAGGTGGTGTCGCAAGATCAGAATTCTGTGCTTTGAGTACGGATGGGGGAATGTCAGCTGGAACCTGTGTTTCCTGTTTTGTGTTTCGATGAGAGTTATACTTTTTAGACCCCCGGAACAACTCTTCAAGCCCACAGCACTCTCAATCCAATGTCTTCTCATCAGAACTCTCGTCGCGTTTATTTTACAAGACCAGTGATCCATTCAAGCTCCAGGAAGCCCACACGGCTCGAAATTCTTTACATGAATCTGTTCGAGCACCATGTCGAGCGATGCAGGTTGTGTGAGCCCTTGAAATTCGGACTAGTACCATTCCATTGTCGTCGTGGTCGCGTTCTCGAAGGATTCATCCTAGAGAGTTTTTCAATGAACACTTACGGCAAAGTTTTCAGTGTGCTCGAGGAGTGGGGTCGCCCAGTTCAGGTGGAAATCGCAACCGGTTACTGCACGGTCCTGGCACTTCTTCGGGAGATAGATCGTCCACAGCGCGTGCATGAATCGTCACGTTGTCCAAGCATACTACGTACAAGGTAGTCCAAACTCGGCAAAAATCCGCAGACTCCGCCGAAATTGTACGAAGTGGCACAGTCGCCTAGCGCGTAGCCTAGCAACGCCAATCACCGCTCAATACCACGCACGCAATAACATAGAATGATCGAAGATGGATTTCAAAGCACCAGCTAGCTGGGTTCGAGATGGTGGAATTGATAAGCTTCAATGCCTTAGGAGTTGCGAAGCTGCAGTAGAGTAGAAGCACATGCTAGGTCTTCGGAAATGTCCATTCTTTGTTTGTGCTTCAGTTCCAAAATTTTGCCTTTCTGACGTTGGTTCTCGATCAGGAGACCAGCCTGCATATATCTCATCCGCACACGGTCGCGTTTGTATCTCTCCAGTTGGATGAACATCCTTCTCATTTCCTGAGAGTGACACAGTTGGAGTTCGATATTGGTCTCCACCAGTCGCGCTTGAGCGGTGGTATGTGCGATTTGGTCTTTTGTAGCCTGAGTGGCGACGTCTCGTAGGCACTCTGCGAGCTCGTTGCAAGTGTCGCATCTATTTTGCTAGAATTCTCATTAGCGATGGACATAAGAAGGCTCAGGTATGCCCTACATTAACCATCTCTGTGTAAATTTGATTGGACGTGGTACTTTAAGTGAGCGCAACATGACTGAAGGACTTGACCGGGTCGTCCCAAGGTTTTGTACTAGGAGCAGTCCAAGGTTTAAGCGCCAAGCATTGTTGAGCTTCTCAATACAGCCAAACTTGAACAAATACTGGAAACCGTAGTCAGATTAATTCTATTTACGACTTAAATTAAAAATACACACACTCTCAAGCATCAGCGCTTAACAGCCCCGCCACAACGTGTTTCGTGAGGTTGGAAATTACTAGCGCGAAAGTCGATGTCGTAAAGGCTACGCCTCACAGCTTGCCTTGCGCGGAGCTCAAACCGGGGAGTCCCGCAAGCTATTGGCCTTGATTAGCATGCCTTTCTTGTGAAAAGAGTCAACTCACCTGATACCAGCATATTACCAGCTTCAGCCCTCCATTCCTCTTTGAGTAACCACAATAGATCAACTTCACCTGAAGTAGACGTCATTCTCCTCCTGGGAACCTCGAGACGCGGTATTGGCCCTTCCGAAGACCCTTCCGCCTCGTTGGGATAATAGAGATATATGAGAAGAATTTCCCGCCGGTCCATATCATGTAATTCGCAGAGAAATTCTTTCGCCCATTGAAGATCATCTGGATCATCTTAGATACGTCACAAACAAGATATCTCATACTCACCCCGGGTCTCCAGCAGCCAAAGTATGGTTAATCTCCTAACTCGTGCTGTTTGTCTATCGTGCGCCAGTAGTAGATGTCGCGCGGTATCCAGATGTGAAGCAATTCCAATCCCACTTGACATGAGAAGGACCTTGTCATACTTGGCCATTGCATGCGCCTCATTACCTCCGTAAGGTCCATCGATGATTACTCTGCTTAGAGGATTTGCGAATTGCAGTTTTTGCGTGAATCCGCTACGCACTTGCACCAACAGCACGATTGTTCTCAATCTTGCTTGCTCGTCTTCGACCGCCCAAGCAATCATGAATGGATGAGACTCAAATAGTCCTAATCCTAAGCTGCGGAGCCCTGGAAGGGTCAGATAGACATACTGTCCCGGTTTTACTGTCCAAGACTTTTTGATATCAAGCCGGACCTGGATCACCGGCTTCTGAAGGCCAGGTCCTGGGTAGCGGATGACTGATATCCGTGACAAGGGACCCGAACCATAGTTTCTCCGCACGGTACATATAACCCATAGTGTTTTCTGCACGAGTAACATGCTAGCAGCTACTGTAAGACATGACAGCAAGTATGCGTCGAGTCGGCTGATGTGCAGCCATACGAGTATTAACATGGCGATGGAAAATAGAAGGTGTGTTTGGAGGAATAGCTCGTACATCATGCGCCGGATGAAAACCACAGATAGCAGCGCTATCAAGCTTGAGAGGGCAAGGAGCTGCTTGGTGTTAGGACCTATCCAGCTTTGAATGTACACAAACGTACAGAAAGATTCAGGGCTGACGGTGTCGATTGAGAGTGCATGAACTCTAGGGTTCCATGAATGATTCCCTCTGCCGCGGCAATGCGGCCTAACCACCGATGTAGTAAACAATAATCAGTGTGTGAGAAACGGAAAATTTTGTCGACTAGTATGTTTGTCCTCCCGCCTAGATAGAGAAATACCATATTGATCAAGCTCAATCGTGCCAAACGAAAAGAAAATTCGTCCTGGTCCTGAACAGCAAGAACAGATGCAATGACATTACCTGATAAAAGGAAAATAATGAGTATCGCGGATAACACGGTAACGTCGGAGCTTCCATTGGGTCTCGAAAACAAGAGCGTGTACACCACCCACTTCGAGAAGGTGGAAAAAATACGCTCACGCGCCTTTGCAGTTAAGAAATGGGACAATCTCCAGCAAAGCAAAAGTACAATTGTAGAAATGTACGTAAGAGCGTATACTAACGGAGCTTGCATGTTTTTGTTTGCGACTGAGAGAGACAGTGCGGTGCACTGTGTAGCAGGATAGGATGTATAACTGTGAAGCAGCAACCTGGGCATCTCCTCCAGTCTGTGAACGGAATTAATTTGTCATGATCCCGGACTCTGTTTCCAAATTCCGCACAGGTCACTTGGCCCATCCGAACAGTCGGGATTCTCGGTACACTGCAACCGATAAGCGCCGTACATATTTTAAGCGCTTGCGCACGCACACCTAGCCTAAATGCGCCCGCAGATTCATCATGTGATCTTCGTTACCTGAGCCTTAATTTATGTAGCTTCCCGGAGGTTGAAAACTGCAGCCAGTCTTTCTCCTCGTTCCCTTCACCATATTCCGTTTTCCATCAGCATAATTCTTCACTATGGCATCAAGGATGCCACCGCCCAAGAACCTCGGACGCTCTTTTGACACTCGATACAACGGAATCTTCAAGAAGAGTACTGATTTTTGCGAGATGTTCCCAGATGCTCGTGTCCTTATCGTCATCAAAAAGCCTGGAATTCAACCTCTTGTATTCTCATCAGAACAGCACGGGCTGGGATGGCCTTCTGCTATCGAAGAATACGTATGAATCTCTAAATGGCTTTGCTTCAAACACTGAACAAAGACAGATCAAAACGAGTGAAGCAATCGTCAAACGCCCCGCTCATTACCAGAGTCTCAACGAAGGCATCTCGAAAGGCCGGGCTATGTTAGTACGGTCATCTTTATCGCCTTCGCCGCCCGAAAGGAATACTACAAAAAGGACCCTAGATTGGATAGAAGCCTGTGAGGACGATAGTACCCTTGATGGTTCTATGTCAACCTCTCCGCTTCCTGCATCTAAAAGACGGGCCTTGGATTACACCTCGCCGCGATCTAATCGAAATGCTAGTCCGTTTCCGACTTTCATACTGCCATCAGAGTCCAGGCCTGCTTCCGAGCGGTCAACATGTGACGCAGTGTAGATATCTTGCAAAACTACATACAACATAGAATCCACAACATTTTTCTTTGACTACGCCTTTTTATTGCTAGTGATTTGCTTTGATAATTGTCATGAGTCCAATGCAACACAAATTTTTGGACCGGTGTTCCTGGAGATACTACAGTTGGCTAATGCGTCAGTGAGCGTCTGCACGAGACTATCTTAATTTTGCACTTTCGCCGTGCCAGTTCCTGAGAGCCTCGCTGGTTGGTCACGGGAGAAACACTCTCCTCTGACGGAACGATGCATTTTCATCCTCAGGACTAGATTCGCTGTCACTGGCGCCTAGTCTCAAAGCAGCCTTGGAGGTTGTCCCATCCGCCGAAGAA